TCAGGGCTCAGCGTGTGACCAGCATCAGGGCTCAGCCTGTGACCAGGGTCAGGGCTCAGCATGCGGCCAGGCTCAGGGCTCAGCGTGGGACCAGGCTCAGGGCTCAGCGTGGGACCAGGCTCAGGGCTCAGCGTGTGACCAGCATCAGGGCTCAGCCTGTGACCAGGGTCAGGGCTCAGCGTGCGGCCAGGCTCAGGGCTCAGCGTGGGACCAGGGTCAGGGCTCAGCCTGTGACCAGGGTCAGGGCTCAGCGTGGGACCAGCGTCAGGGCTCAGAGTGGGACCAGGGTCCAGGCTCAGAGTGGGACCAGGGTCAGGGCTCAGAGTGGGACCAGGCTCAGGGCTCAACGTGGGACCAGCATCAGGGCTCAGCCTGTGACCAGGGTCAGGGCTCAGAGTGGGACCAGGCTCAGGGCTGAGTGTGACCAGCGTCAGGGCTCAGCCTGTGACCAGGGTCCGGGCTCAGCGTGGGACCAGGGCCAGGGCTCCGCTGCTCCGTCTGCCTGGCGTGGCCTCCTACCCAGCCTGCCTGTGGGGTTGTCTCCTCAGAGCAGGCTCTGTGGATCCCCAAGTAGGCCAAGGGGTTTCCCTCCCTGGGTTTCCACTTACCTGTGCCCCTCTTGTGTCCAGCAGAGCACTGAGCGCCCTTAAACCCATGTTTCTAAGATGTGAAGAACCTGCACAGACGGTGTGAAGGGCTCCTGGGGCTGCTGCCTGTTTCTTCTCTCTGCAGCACCCAGTGGGACGCCCTCATGGATTGTTCTGTGTCCTAGAGGGCACTCAGGCTGCTCAGTCTGTGCTCAAAACACTGCTGTGAGCGTCCTCCACTGCAGAGTCTTCACGGCCTTTAGCCACGGGCAATGGGACACACACACGGGGGCCAGATCAGTCCCTCGAGCACTGTGCCCTCCCTCACGGGCAGGGCCCCCCTGGTCCAGTGGTTAGGACTACCCCACGTCCCTCCCATCCTAGGTGTTTGGGTGACCTCTCGGGAGCCTGCATTCAACAACACTCCAGGGACATCTTACAGCTTCCCAGACGGCACCTCCAAGAGGCTGCGCGATCCCGCGAGTGCGCACAGCGGGCGGTGTCCCTGCCGCCTTGGCATCATTGTCCAGCCATTATTTTGCTCAAGGATTTAAAATGCTACTTCCTTCATTTTGCTCCTCTCTAATTGGAAGTGTGGTTGAATGTCTTTTTCTTTGAACGTGCTACTCACATCCTTGCCCCTTCCTGTGGATTTGTAGTTTTCTTTATATAGGAAAGGAATCCACCTCTTTTTCACATATAGCAAATGTTTCCCACCTTGTCTTCTTTTAGTTTTATGGCATTTTTCACGCAGTTCTTTTTAGATTTTTATGTCATCATGAATCTTCCTCAATCTGAATTTTGAGTCTTGTTTTTCCTAAAATGTTTTTTCTTTTTTTCCTAACAGCTTTATTGGGTATATTTCACATACCATGCAGTTCACCCGTGTGAAATGTTTTTGGCATATTTAGAGATATGTGCAACCATCAAAGTCAGTTTTTGAATACTTTCATTGTCTCAAAAAGAAACCCCTACCTTTTGGCCGTCACCCCCAAACCCCCTGATGGGGGCCCCTGGGGACGGAGGGTCAGCCCCCCGCCTGGGTGGACCTGGTCCCCTCTCTCAGGCCCTCTTCTGGGCTGAGGCCAGTGGGTTCTCTCCCTGCCCTGCTCCTGACTTGCTGGACGCCTGGGTCAGGCTATGCCCTTCTGAGCCTGGCTCTCCCCACCTGGGCCAGGAGGGTGTGGCCAGCCCGCTCCGCACCCCCTACTCATGGGTGGCAATAGCGATACAGCGGCCGGAGCCTGCTGGGCGTCTGGACTTGTGGGAGCATCCTCCAAAGCCCTTGCACTGGTGACACTGCAAGGCTTGGACTGCAGCCACAGGTGTAGGGACAGACAGATGGACGCACAGACACAGGGACAGAGCTGAGGGCAACTCCTGCACAATGGCACCCTCTCTTTCCACTCAGCAACGCCTCAGTGGACTCTCAGCACCCGGCAGGGCTCCCATGATCCCCTGGCCATAGGCTGAGCTGGGGGAGGGAGAGGAGGCTGCCCAGCCCCCGTGAGCCAGCCCTGGCGGTGACGAGGGCTTTCTCCGCATTGAGCCCAGATTGCCCAGTCTTCCTGTCCTCATCCATCCACCCTGATGACGCAGGGGCAGTTCTCGGGGGTCATTGGTGAGGCCTGGGCCCCGAGCCTCACAGTCTTTTCCCACAGGGCAGAGACCCCCCCTTCCCCAGGGTCCCTGCGAGGGGAGACGGTGGGCAGATCCCAGAAACAGTTGGGAAGGGGAGTGCCGGGCCTGGGCCGGGGCTGTCCAGGTGCTTCCTCTGTCCATCTCATTTAGGGCCATGGGGCTGGTGAGGCGGGTGTTGACCCAGATGGGAAAACAGGTGAGGGCTGGGGGAGTGGGCTGCTTGGGATTGGATTGGGAGGGCCCAGCTGGTCTTGTTCAAGCATCTGGGCGGGTGGAGATGCCACCCCAACACAGGGGTCGGTGGGGAGATGACGAGGCCAGGTGTGGGCAGCCCCATTTGGGGGCATGTCCCCGAGGAGCACTCGAGCAGGCCTCAGGGGCAGATGCAGCCAGCGACAGTCGATGTGGGCGGAGCCAGAGAAGACTGCAGAGGTGGGAGTGGGAACACTGCCTCCAGAATAAGGCCAGACCAGAAGGGGAGCGGCCTGGATCCTCCCTGGGGGAGAGGAAGGGGGAAGGCAGGAGAGGGCGGGCCAGGAGCAGCCAGGGGGGCGGGGTCCCTGCTGGACGGGGAAGGCCTGTGCGGCTGGGGGAAGGAGGGGTCAAGCCAGGGGCAGGGCGCTGAGCGGTTCGCAGCTCTTGCAGGTACGAGGACAGGGTGAGGGCTCAGCTGATGGGCCCGCAGGTCCGGGGAGGGGCTGGGCAGAGGGTAGGAGCTGGTGGATGGGAGGGCCAGTGCCTCAGGAAAAAGGGTGCGGGGGCAGGAAGTGGGCTCCCCCAAGGTGGGAGTCACAGCTCAGTGGTGGCCTAGATCGGAGGGGCAGGCTTAGAGCAAGCGAGGAGAGCTGGAAAGAAGGTGGCCGTGACCCCTGGACTCACCCAGCTCCAGGTTCAAGGCAGCGGCCAGCAGGAGCCCAAGGACAGCCTCACGTCCTCCTGAGGGAGGCCTGGCTCCCAGGGCGCCCGGGCTGCCGTCTTATACCAGCTGCTGCTCTGCCCCGCCCCAGAGGCCAGCGCAGCCGAGGAACGGGACTGGGGCCTGGGCAGCACGGGGGTCCAGCCTGGTCCCCAGGCTCGATGGCTGTGTGGCCTCCGGAGAGCCTCGTTTAATTCCATAAACCTCTTTCCTGGTCCTCAAATGATACGATTGGGGATCACGTGAGGTGGCGTGACACACGATGAACCCTCAGCGCACAGCCTCTGGCCTCCCGGGTGAACAGGAATGAGGGTCTGGCTCAGGCCTGGGGGCCAGGCCCTGGCGCTAAACATGCAAACAAAGCTTAGGGCCCGCCGAAACCGGAAGCTTCGCCAGCACGGCCCCTGCGCTGAGTTAGCGGAGCAGCTGCCGTCCGAAGTGCCACAAAGCACGGTCCTCAGCTTTCCCGGCTGTCAAACGGGCCTCCCTCCAGAAGTGGGGGCTCTGCACTGCCTACCCCCTGGGAGTGACGAGGGACCCCGGTCATGATCGTGACTGTATCGCAGGGCCCAGGTGTGGGTGTTTGCCCAGTGCTGCGGGGCGGGGAGCAGAAAGGCCCTTGGTATTGAGAGACCCCATGATGGGTGAGAGCCCAGAAGGACCCTCCTGAGAGCAGGAGCCAGACTTTGTGGGGGCGATGCGCCAGCCAAGCCATTCTGCCAGAACAGGAGGTGCACCGTGGGGGCAGTGTGGGGGGCTGTCTGAAGGGGGCCAGCCCTGCTGGCCCAGAGGCCGTTGTCTGCCCTGGCAGCCCACGTGGCTTTTGTCCATCCCTCTATCTGGTGGGCCCCTGTGGGTAGTCGGTCTCAGACCCCGCTCCCAGGCAGAAAGGAAGAGCTGGTGCCAGGAGCTAGAAAGCTGGGTGGTGGGTGAGTTCCTGGGGCCCTACCTCCCCTACCAGCCCCGTCAGCCTTCCCCAGGGGGCCGCTGGGTGAGGTGGTAGGTCTGCCTCGCTCCCAGGGAACCAGAACTGGGGCCGCTCCCGTGAACCTTGGGAGTCCTCCTGCCTCTCCTGCCTGGCTCCCTCCCCTCCCATGGGTCACCCCCTGCCCTGGGCCAGGGCTGGTTCCGAGGTCAAGACTGGCAAGACTGGGCGACCCAGGGTGGGCGGGAGTCCAGGACAGACAGAGCCAGCAGGACCAGCACACCAGCCCACAGGGTAGAGGTGAGCACAGGAGGGGTGGCTGGTGGGACAGAAAATCGACACACATATTCATCCGTTTATTCACTAGCTCGAGGAGGTGCAAAGGAGACCTCTCTGGGAGGCCGTGTGAGGGAGGGGGGCCATGGCCTGAAGTCGATGCCCATGCTGGGTAGGGTCAGGAAGTGGACGGAAAGGGCACCATCCATCCGTCTGTCCGTCCGTTCATCCATCTGTCCACCTGGTGCCTCCTGTGTGCCAGGCCCCAGACCGGGCAGTTACTGGCCCCACTGGGCAGCCTGGTGGGCGCTACTGTCCCCATTTTATCAGCAAGACAACAGAGGCTCAGAGGTGTGAACGACGAGGTCCAGATCAGCCCAAGGGATAGGATCCAACAAAACTTGGGGGAGGGGGAGAGATGAAAGAGAGCTCTCACTTTCTTTTCACCTTTCTCAGAGGTTCAGAATCATGAAAAAAATACACGTTCATCACCACAAATCAGATGTCACAAAGGGAGGTGAGAAGCAGCTGTCCAGCCTCCCCTCTGCACGTCCGTCTGCACCGGGGCCGCAGCTGTGCTCCAGGCAGATGGACGGCACAGGGGTCCACGCAGGTGCCGCCAGTCAAGCAGCCGCTCCTGAGACGGGCAGGCTGCTTCCAGATCCGAAACGCTGCGAAGACCGCGGGGAAGAGCCTGGGCCTGCCCGCCTGCCGACCCACGATCCTGACACAGGTGGGGAAGGGGTCTGGGCCAGGCGAGCTCGGAGTGCCTGGCACCCCTGTGCCCTCCTCTGTGCTATTCCACCCCTGGCCCAGCACCCAGACACAGGGCTGGATGCCCTGACTCTGTCTTTCATGGCTTCTCAAACCTCCTGGTGCTGATTTTCTCCTTTCCTGACCCTAAGCTGTTACAATGATTTCACATGCTAATGTCCTCTTAAATTTATAAACCCACCTTCTCAGCTTCCCCTTCCTCTCCCAGCTGATAGGAGAAGCGACTGCAGGGTGGGGCAGTGAGAAGTCCCACCTGGCTTGGGCAACTACTTCACCTCTCTGTGCCTCAGTTTCCTCATCTGTGAAAGGGGCATGATAACGGCTCCTACCTTGCAGGGTTGTCTTGCAGTGCTTAGAGCCACAACTGCAGGGAAACGAGCAGATGTTAGTCACTAGCCTCATGGACAGTCAGTTGGGACAAGATGACTTGTTTGATTTCCCAGGGCACTATTGGTGCAGTCCCCTGATTTTGCAGTGCCACGCGCTTCCCACTAGGGGGCCCGGCCGGGGCGTGAGCATAACACGTTGGGTGTATCTGTGCTGAGTTTCGACCACAGCCGGGCCAGGCAGAACCCAGTCTGTGGAGGTGGGATGGGCAGCATGGTCCCCGGTGCTGGGGGCAGTGCCATGGCTATTGGGATGGGACCAGGTCAGGGTGGAGGAGGGTTGGACAGATGGAGGCAAGAGGCAGGTGTGAGAAGCTCCCCCAACACCAAGCACACCCAGTGCTGGATCCCTGCTCTCAGTGACCCCAGAGCCCACAGGGGGCCAGGCAGGGCTCTACTCCATCCCCGCCAGGACAGGAAGGAGGGAGGGAGGGAGGACCCGGTCTAGCCGAGGAGCCACCGGACCCAGGACAGAGTGCTTGCACAAGCAGGGCAGTGACGGTGCTTCCCAGGCCTCTCCTGCTGAGTCAGGAGGGCAGTCTGCCCAGGGCTGCCCTCCCTCCCAGAAAGCATCTGGAGCTGCGGTGCCCCCGCAGCCAACTCTGCGGGGAGTGTGGTCACTTCCCTGAGATGGACCACTCCTGGGAGTCTTTGGGTGGAGGAGCTGGGGGTGGGGTCTGGCTTCCCCCCAGCCTCCCCCAAGGAGGGGCTCACACCACACTGGGCATCAGGGGGAGGGGCCACCTGGACGGCTGTCTGGGGTTCGGTCCTTCTGCTTATTGGCCCTCCGGGAAGCCTGACCCAGGCCTGCCTAAGGACCGGATCCCCTGAGGTCAGGCAGTCCCAGAGGGAAGCTCTCAAGAGGGAATTTCCAGCACAGGTCCCCCTGACAGGGGCCATGCTTAGGGGCCAAGGGCTTCTGAGTTCCAGGGACAACCCCCCACGTGGGCACCTGCCACCATCCTGCACACTTGGGCCTTGCCAACCTGAAGGGGCTCCTTGGCCCCTCCCCAGACACTGGAGCTGGGGGCACTGGTCAGCTGAGGAGGCCTCAGGCGCCGTGTGACCCCGGGCACAACGTTGCACATAGACTGGCCTCACTGGAAGGAGGGCCCGGCTTCCCGGGCCACCCGGATCCAGAACAGCAGACGCTAGCTAGACCGGGCTTCCCCGAGCTGGCCGAGGGCGGGGCTCACCTAGGGTGGGTGCCTTTTTTTTTTTTTTTTTTTTTTTTTTTTGCGGTACGCGGGCCTCTCACAGCTGTGGCCTCTCCCGTTGCAGAGCACAGGCTCCGGACGCGCAGCCGCTCCGCGGCATGTGGGATCTTCCCGGACCGGGACACGAACCCGCGTCCCCTGTATCGGCAGGCGGACTATCAACCACTGCGCCACCAGGGAAGCCCAGGGTGGGTGCCTTTTAAATGATGCCCTTTCTTGGGTCTCTGGGGGTCCCAAGGCCCAGCTTGACTGGGGGCACCTGAGAGCCACTCCCTGAGCTGAGGCTGGAGCGCTCCAGCCGGAGCGGAGCTCCCGCCCTCCCCGTGGGCAGAGTCAGAGGTCGAGGGGCCCGCGAAACCCTTTGGGGCCAAGGCCGGCGCACCCAGTACTCGTTCAGTCGGGATCCTGCTGCCGCCCGGATAGCAGTCAAGCCGCTGCGAGGGGCGAGGGGATCCCGGCTGCGCGGGGAGGGAGCGCGGCCCTTTGCATTCTTCTTTCCCAACCCGTCCTCCCCTCCTCCCCCGGACCTCCCCTCTCCCTCTCCCCTCCCCTCTTTTCCTGACCACAGTCCCCTCCCTTCCCCGACCCCTCCTCCCCTCCTTCCCCGGTCCCTGCCTTCCCTTCCCCTCCCCTCCGGCGGACCGAGCCCACCCCTGCCCGGCGTGGCCCCAAGCGTCCACCAGAGGGCGCCCCGCTCCGGTTCAAGGATGCACCGCCCCCGCCCCCGCCCCGGCGAATCCTCGGCGCCCCGGCGAAGTTCGCCGCCCCAAACCCCCGCCCCCCGTAAAGAGGCGCACTCCGCCAGGGCCTGCTTAGGGCTGAAGGCCAGGCTTCGGGTGGCTACCGCTCTGCTCCCTTCCCTCCTGGCCTAAAATAGTCCTGGGATCAGCTCTCAAGCTCGACCAAATATAGCCTGGCCTCTCCAGGCTCAGGCCTTGCGCAGGGGCCCAGCGCCGGGTCTGGAGGGGCCTAACGGGCCTCTTTAGGCTGAACCACTTCCTCCCCTGCCAAGGGCTGCCTAGACACGAGGGGACGGCCGACGGGGGGCGGGGGGCACAGGGCTTCCCCGATCGGCCTGCCATGCCACACCTGCCCTGGGCAGCCCTCCTAGGACCCTGGAGAGCCTTCTTCCTAGGACTGTTCCCCACCCCCTGGGTCCCTAATCTCCCCTCCCCCTCCAGCACACTTACAGGGCAGACGCAGAGGTCCCCTTCACGTCAGTGTTCACCGGCCAACTGAAGATCCCCCATAAACAGCACACCGTGCCCACACCCCCATCCTTGGACAGAGGAGGGGGCTGAGCTGCCCCGTCAAAGCCAGATGCCTTGGGAGGTGTGGTCCCACATCGGCCTTCTGAAAACAACAGGTCATGACCTGGAAGCAGACCCCCGGGTAGCTGGAGGAGGTCAAGAGTCCTCTTGCAGACATTCCTGGATGTGGCTGGGGGGGGGGGGGTCGGGGGAGGGCAGAGAGGGGGTGCGCAGGGGGAGAGGGTGGGACCGTGCTGCTCAGCACTTTGCCCTTGAGTGAGTCTGTGGAGGGCGGGACGGGGCTTTAGAGCAGACCCCAGAGGGTGGCCAGGAGTACAGGGGCCAGGGTTGCAGGGGCTGCAAGGCCAGCACCGTTACAGAGGTCGTACTGGCAGCAGGAAGTGGTGGACGCGTGCTTGGAGTAGCCATCGTACACGGTCTCAAAGCAGCTGGGCACGCACGACTTGCTCACCTTCATCCTGGTCGGGGTGTAGTCTGCAGAGGGATGGGGAGGTGGGCCAGGACCCTGAGGGGGCCAACCCCAGCATGCAGGGCCATTCGGCCAGGTTCCCCTAAGCCAGGAGCTCCCAAAAAGGATCCTGGAGCAGGTGGGAGCCTCCCTCCTCAGCTCCCTCACACTCCCCCACCCGCCACCGTGCTCCACAGGCGGGGCTGTGAGGGGCATCCCAGCAACTCACAAGTGCGCGTGGTCATGCAGTAGGTGACCATGGCCGGGCAGCGCATGGGGTTGAAGCAGTTCTCGCCATTGTAGGCACACACGTGGCAGTCCAGAGCCTGGGCTGGGGGCCGGGGGCCGGGGCCGGAGGGAGATTGGGGTCAGAGAACAGCAAGAGGCCCCCTCCTCCAGCCCATCAGCCCCCTGGTCCCGTCAGCCTCCCCAGGTCAGAAGAGCTGGGAGGAGAGGCGGTCACTGGGATTTCCGCCCCCACCCCCTCCAGCCTGCCTGCCCCCAAAGGTGGGTCTGTCCATCCCTCTGTTCTCCATCCATCTTACCCACAGGTAGGCCCACCAAGGCCACCAGGAACAGGGCGAACAGGGGCACCATGGCCGGAGGTGAGAGGGCAGAGTGGGAGCAGGGAAGTGGAGAGCAGCTGGTCTTCGATTCAACTCAGGCCAGGGCTGGGGCAGGGCACAGAGAGGGTGGGACAACCCCCTGCCCTCTGGGAGCTCCTGGTCGACTGGAGGCGCTATAGCCCTGCACAGAGGGGGATGAGGACAGGTGGTCACAGCAGGGCCTGAGGGACCCACAGGTTTGTGCAGAGGAGTCCCCCAACTCAGCCTGGGAGTCAGGGAAGACTTCCTGGAGGAGGAGACACGAATGAGATGAGAAGGAAGCAGGGGTGGGGGGCCAAGGGGAGGCCAGAAGTCTGGAGGGGCCTTGAACGCCAGGCCAAACCGACAGTCTACCGGGGATGGTTGATGCAGGGGCCCAGGAGCTTGGTACCCAGCCGTCTCCCACCCAGGGCCCTGGGGCCCCAGGGGTGGGTCTGTCCTCACTGCTACCCCTACCCTTTGCCCCTGGCGTGTCCCCGCGTGGGGCCCCCCACTTCCTGACACTTTCAGGGCCCAGCTAGGGGCCCCTCTCCCGGAAGACCTCCAGAGCCCTGCCTGGGGTTTTGAGTCAGTACTGCAGAACTCAGGCCTTGCGCAGGGGCCCAGCGCCGGGTCTGGAGGGGCCTCAGGGGCCTCTTTAGGCAGAGCCACTTCCTCCCCTGCCAAGGGCTGCCTAGACACGAGGGGACGGCCGACGGGGGGTGGGGTGGGGGTGGGCACAGGGCTTCCCCGATCGGCAGCGGACTCTGTCCAGCCTGTGGGGGAATGTGCTTTGAATGCACTCCAGGGGGGCACTTGGGCAAGACAAGAACTTCCCAGTCTGGATCTGCTGTTTGGAGCGGAGATGCCCACTCTCTCGGAAAGGGTCTGGGGGGTGTCTGGAGCACGACTCCCCTCCCCGCGCGGACAGTCCAGCCCCGGGTCCCCGCCTCGGGGAACTAAATTAGACCCTCCCGTTCCCGAGAACAACAAATCCATCTTCCATGACCCATTTTCCGGGCGTGCACCTCGGGATGTCGAAGGTCTGAGCAAGGCCGGGCCTGCGGCTCCAGCTCCTCCTGCCCCCTCCCGGAGAGCCCCGCCCCCAAGACTGCGGTCCCAAGTTCGGGCGGCTGTCGGGGGGACCTCAACCATGACCTTCACCACCATGAGCCCCCGTTGCGCCTAGGACTCACCCCTCGCCGGCCCTGCGAGCCCGGGTCTGACAGTGCGTCAGTCCTTGAGCCCAGCAGTGCCCACGCCGCGCCGCCGCCCCGCGGCAGAACCGCCCATCGCGCGTGACCTCACCGCAGGCCCCGCCCCGCCCCGCCCGCGAGTTCGTCCTTCCCGCGGGGACCGGGACCCCCCGCCCCCCGCGGAGGGCCAACCGCGCCCAGACCTAGGCCCCCGCAGTGACACCCGCGCTACCCTCAGACGCACGTGCACCTCGCGATGGGGCACGGGGACGGAATCTTCTGCCCCTCCCTCCCTCTCCCTGCTTCCGCCCGCCGCCCTTCGCCCACTCACCCCCCGTGCTGCTAGTCAGCCCCGCACCCCAGCAGCAGCCCGTGCCCCTTCTTCCTTTAGCCCAGTTGTACAGGGATGTTAGCGGAGCTGCAGCGAGTGCCAGGGGTGGGGGGTGGGGGGGTGGGGAGGCGCTGATTTCTGGATCCGGCTTCTGGGTCCCCACGTGGTCCCGCTTTACCTGCTGTGTGACCTCGGCAAGTTACCTAGCATCTCTGGGCCTCGGTCCCCACACCAGGTCCCTCCTAACAAAGCGTAAAATCGAGCCTTGAAAGAAGCCCATTGTTTCATGGACCCCCTTCCACGGTAATAATAATGTTTAAGGCAAAATTTAAGATTTTCATGGGCCCTAAATTTTTTTTTTTTTTTCTAATGTGAGGAAAAAAATGCAACATTTTCTTTGACCCTCAATTTTATTTTTCTTTAAAAGAGTTGAACCACTTTGGGGACCCTAGGCCCTGAGCCTCCAGAGCGACGTGGGCACTCTCCCTGGACAGACTGGGATGGTTGGTCACCCTATTTGCCAAATAGTCCCTGAGATGCCTCAGGGTGCCAGGAGTTGGAGATAAAACGGGCAAACATTCCCCAATATTCTCGCGGTCATGAAGCTCACACTCCACTGGGGCATATGCTGTGGGCTCCAGCATCAGATCATGATGAATTAACAGCAACTGGAGTTTCCTCCTGCCTTTAAACAACTGAAAAATGGGGCAAAATAAATGAAGCCACGGTTCTCCGAGGTCGCACAGCAGGCAGCAGGGGCCGTGACCCTGGAGGTGGGGGAGACAAAGGAGCTGCAGGCCACAGAGCAGGGAGGGGAAACCCAGACAGAGCCCGGGACTCTCTGACTGAGGAGAGGAGAGTTCAGGGAAGCCAAAGCAGCTGGATCTCACAGGGCAGAGAGGAGAGAACTGTCCCCTCTCCAACCCACAGGGCTGGGGAGGTCAGCAGAGGGTGCGTGTGTCTTCAGCTGAGGGCCCATCAGTGCACACATTTGAGGAACCAACCCCAAGATGTGGAAGGAGCAGGCACAAGGGTTCCCAGAGCTCACACAGGGCTGGAGGAGAAACCTTGTGTCAATCGAAAAAAATACAAACCCTCACAACCTAAAAGTCTTGAGTTAATATTTTATTTGGGGACCCTACTGAGGACTATAGCCCAGGAGACAGCCTCTCAGCTCTGAGGAACTGGTCCAAAGAGGTAAGGAAGGAGCCGGGACATATAGGAGTTCTTGCTGGGAAAAAACAAACAAACAAACAAATGTACTCGAACATCAAAAGATCACTGCTAGTCACAAAAAGTAGACATCGCAAGTTAATGATTTTAGTGCTTTTCTCTGTTTGGGAAGATGCAAGAGTCTGGGCTCATTGAAATTATTCCTTTGATGTGCATCTTAGCTATTTAGGGCAAGTATCCAGTTTTCCTCTATCCTGAATTCCCCTCACGGAAACTATAAACTCATGGAACCCAGAAATTCAATGAACCTCAAGCACAAGAAATTGAAGAAAACTATACCAAAACACATCGTGATCAATTGCTTAAAACCAGTGATAGGGGCTTCCTTGGTGGCGCAGTGGTTAAGCATCTGCCTGCCAGTGCAGGGGACACAGGTTCGAGCCCTGGTCCGGGAAGATTCCACATGCCGTGGAGCAACTGGGCCTGTGCTCCACAGCCGCTAAGCCTGCGCTCTAGAGCCCGCAAGCCACAACTACTGAGCCCATGCTCCTAGAGCTTGTGCTCCGCAATTAGAGAAGCTACTGCAATGAGAAGCCCATGCACCGCAACGAAGAGTAGCCCCCGCTCACTGTAACCAGAGAAAGCCTGCACACAGCGACAAAGACCCAACGCAGCCAAAAATAAATAAAATAAAATTTTTTAAAAAAACAGTGATAAAGAGAAACCACTAAAAGCAGACATTGTGTGATGCACAAGAAAAGAAGGACGCCAGCAGATTTCTTGTCAGAAACAGTACAAGCCAATACAGTGAAGCAATATTTGAAATACCAAAACACAAAAACAAAACAAACAACTTGGAATTATATGCCCCCCCAAAACATCTCTGAAAAGTGAAGGGGAAATAAAGATATTTTCAGACGTGCAAAGGCAAAAAGAATTCTTTTCTAGAATTAAAAAAAAAAAAAAGTAAAGAAAGAGCAAGAAAAGAAAAATCAAAGAGCTCTACTTAATAAAGTAACAAAAGAGATAAAATGGAATCACAGGGAGTAATCTGGTCATTGACAAGAATGCAGAAAAAGAGGGGAAAGGAAAAAGAACAAGTGGGACAGAGAGAAGACAGAAGGCGGGGTGAGAGACTTAAACCCATGACACCTCTAATCACACTGAAAGGTCCAAACACCCCAACTAGGAAGCAGAGGTGGTCAGATTAAATAAAACGAGAAAGAGCCATGTCTCTGCTGCGCTCAAGAAGTCCACTGTACATGTAAGATCACATGTAGGTTAAAAGGCAAAGCACGGAGGAAGAGACACCAGGCTCACAGTAATTAAAAGAAAGCAGGAGTGACCACACTCACGTCAGACAAAGTGGATTTTAGAGCAAAAGATATAGCCAGGAATAAAGAAGGACATTACATAATGATAAAAGGATCGGTTCATTAAGGGGACATAGCAATCCTACATGTTTATGCACCTAACAACTGAGTTTCAAAACACACAAAGGCAAAAAAACTGAGAGAACAAAAAGGAGAAAAAGAAAATTCATGACTCCAGCCAGAGATTTCAACACTCCTTTCTTAGAGAATTTTTTTTTTTTTTGGCTGCATTGGGTCTTCGTTGCTGCACGCGGGCTTTCTCTAGTTATGGTGAGTGGGGGGCTACTCTTCGTTGCAATGCGCGGGCTTCTCGTTGCAGTGGCTTCTCTTGTTGCGGAGCATGGGCTCTAGGCACGCAGGCTCAGTAGTTGCGACGCATGGGCTTAGTTGCTCCGCAGCATGTGGGATCTTCCCGGACCAGGGCTCGAACCCGTGTCCCCTGCATTGGCAGGTGGATTTTTAACCACTGCGCCACCAGGGAAGCCCAACACTCCTTTCTTAAGAGCTTATAGAAGTCAACGGAAAATGAATAACGATAAAGGAGACTTGAACAACACTACCAGCCCATGTGACCTGCTTGATAAGTACAGAAGGAGAGCCCGTTCTTTTCAAGGACACACAGAATATTAATCAAGATAGACCTATTGTGGGCCGTAAAATAAATCTCAACAAATTTACAGGGATTGAAATCCTACAAATTATTTTCTTGGGCTACAATGGAATTAAATCAAGAACAGAAAAATAAGATCACCAAATATTTAGAAACTGGGCAACACATTTCTAAATAACCGGTGGGCTAAAGGAAAAATTTTAAAGGAAATTAGAAAGTATTTCTAACTGAATGAAAATGAAAACACAATATATCAAAGCTAGTGGATGCAGCTAAAGCAGTGTTTAGAAGGAAAATTTTGGCACTAACACTTGTATGAGAAAAAATAAAGTTCTCGACATAATGGCCTATGATCCCACCTTCAGAAACTAGAACAAGAGTAAATCAAACCGCACGTAAGCAAAATAAAGGAAACGATAAAAATAAGAGCCAAAAACCAAGGAAATAGAAGAAGAAAATCAATAGAGAAAATCAGTCAACGGACAGTCATCTTGAAATTGGCTATCAGTGGTCTGATCAGCGCCATCTTGATTAAGTACAGTTAATCTTCGTTTCCAGGGTTGGTTTGTTCCCATTTCTTTGAGGCCAGTTCTCAGAATTGTGGCAGCTTATGTCATGGCTACAGCCTGGTCATCATGTAGTTAACTTCTTCCACCTGGCGGGGATTTCTAACCTGGGCCCCAGGTGGCCTCGGTGTCCCTTCAGGGATGGCTGCTCTGCGGAGCCTTCCCTGACCCCGTGTGGCAGCCTCCTCCTCCTTCTGCCCCCGCAAGTTTGCTGACCGCACCCCTGGCTTCCAGGTGGGGGGTGAAGGGTCTTCTCCGGAGTTTGGCACCAGGAGGCACTCTCCTCCCTGGCTCCAGCTGGCCCAGCTCAGAGCACCCTCCCCTCTCCGGAGGCGGATGTCCCTGACCCCCCACCTCTTGATTCAAATCCCAGCCACACGGCCGGCCTGCTGTGGGATATCCCGAGGACTCGGGATGGTCCGCGCCCTGTGCGTCCCCGCCCGTCTGTCCGACCGCAGTGGCCCGTGTGTCTGATCCGGCCTTTCCACTCCCTGCCCCGGGTGCCGGGTGCCGAGGGCACAGAGTGGGCTCTGAGGGAGGGGAGAGGCATGCCCCCTTGGCAACTCCTCCCAAGGCCCGGCTCCCCGGTGGCCACCGGGGGGGGCGCGCTGGTCCTCGGAATATTCCCGTCGCAGCAGGAGCTACGGTCGGATCTCAGCCCACGGGAGCGCGGAGCGGGAGAGACCTGCCGCGGGCAGAGGGTGTTGCTCAAGGTCACCTGGTAGGACAAGGTGGGAACCGGGCGAGCCTGGGCAGGCGGGGCTTGGCCGTGAGAGGTGGGGGAAGGGCTGGCAGGGTGGGCGGGGCGGCCCTGCAGGGAGGGGTTCCACCGCGTGGTCTCAGGCAGGCTGGTGGCTGCCTGGTGAAGAGCTACGGCCTCGCATCACTGCTCCACTGACAAACTTCTGCCAGCGCGCCTACTCAGGCCTCCCCCAGGAGGGCCCTCCTTGTCTGGGGCTGCAGAGGAGGTGTCTGGGGAGGGTCGTGTCCCCTCCGGGGGTGAAGGGTGATGGTGCCCCTCCAGGCATCATGCACGCTGCCGAGACTGGCCCTGGGTGACAAACCCTGGGACTTGGGGGCCGGTGTGTGTGGATGGCTCCTCCCCACCTCCTCTACTCCCGGAACTAGCACAGACATGACCACGCTGGTTTGCAACCATTTATTTCGGTGCAGGGCTTTGGGTAGAAAAATAAACGGAAACCAAACAGAACGAATATGAAGCCTGAAGGGAGCCGAATGCCTCCTGTCCCCCCTCCTCCCCTCGCTGCTCAGGGAGGGGCGTCCTCTTGTGCTGGGGGAGGGGCGGCTCCAAGCCAGCAGCTCTTCGTGCCGCACCACCGCCCTGCCCTAGACCTTCCAGGGGAGCCCCCAGCCAGGGTGTCTGAGCCCCCATCCTGGCCAGGGAGAGGAGGGGGTGGGGCCCCGGTCCCGAGGGTCACAGGCTGGCGGCCCAGGTGAGGGCGTGGAGGCCCAGGGCCAGCGCCAGGCCGAGGGGGGCGCTGGTGAGCAGGGCGCGGGCGGGCGCAGCGCTCTGCAGACTCTCGTTGCACAGGTCGCCCGTGCAGCACAGGGTGGCCGAGGCCCCTGTGCTGACTTGGCCCTGCAGCTTGTGCGTGGGCGTGCACGACTCCGCGCAGTTCTTCTCCACCAGGTTCCCAGATAGGGGCTCCACTGGGGACGGGCGGGCGAGGTCAGGCCAGGCACCGCCTCCGACCCCCAGGGCCTCCCAAGTACCAGTTCCCAGCTTCCATCGCCACCGTGACCGGTCAGTCACCGAGATCACTCCCACCATCCTCCCCAGGGATGATCCTCCAAGCCCTGGGGCACCGGGACAGAGCCCTGGAGTGTCCTGCAGGGGCCCCTTTCCCCTCCCCCAGATCGCTCACCCTTGGTCACCGTCTTGCAGAAGTTGGAGTTGACTGAGCAGCTCTGAGGTTTCTCACAGTTGGTGGAGCTTGTGCATACGTGACACTGGAGAGCCTGGGCTGGGGGCGAGGGTGTAGGGGTTTCAGCAGGCCCCGGGGAGACCTCCCAGGGAGACAGGGATGCCTGGGTTTACTGCCAGAAAAGACTCCTGGACAGAGCCCTCTGTCACCCCTGCCCTAGGCCAGTCGCCTCTGAGGCCCCTGGGCCCCACCAGGGTTCAGGTCTTGCACACAGCCTCAGGAGGCAGGAGGTGACAGTCCCTGTCTGCTGGGGCCCTGGCAGCCCACCCGGAGGAGCTGTCCAGTGCCGGGCATCCCTAGAGGACCAGTGAGGAGGTGGCCAGTATGGGGTGCACTGAAGACCCTTCCCCAGGGGCATCAGAGGCTCTGGGATTGCTAATAGTGGCTCACAGGACCTGGCTGCAGTCCCCACCCTGGGGGCTGTCTCCTGGTGGGGAGCCCACGGTGAGGACCTGAGGCTGCGTTGGGGTCCCGGAGGCTGTCAGGTTGGCCATGCTGAGCCTGCGGGGGGGAGGGGGAAGGGTGACCCAGGAGGGCCCTGGGCCCTGGAGAGGGGGATCAGGGGCTGAACCCTGAGTATCTGTCTTTCCCCAGGAGAGGCATCTGAAGACAACTCCCAGCATCGCTCCCTCTCAGAACGTCTGATTCTTGGGGTTGATTTTCTGATTCTGAAATATTGTTAAGTCTGTGATCCCACAAAATTAAGATGCGGGGTTCACTTTGTTCTAGGGTTCACAACGCCAAGGTTCTCCGTGCCTAGAGGTGAGCAACTCCAGGCTTCCAGGGTCCGGCTCCCCACTGCCCCCAGCCCCCAGCCAGCCCCTCACCTGGCCCAGAAGCCACAGCCAGGGCAACAAGGAACAGCAGGGCTGTCTTCATCTCGGGTGTTCCCGGGGCAGTGGGAGCCCCTCCTCTCCAGAGGCCTTATAGCTGGGACCGGTGCTGGTGGGAGGGAGGGGCGGGGACCTGCCCCTTCCGGCCTGGCCCACGCCCTCCAGCGAGGCACACCCCTGCCCTGCCAGCTGGAGGGATCTCTGCCCGCGCTCCACCACCACCCCCCACCACCCCCCACTGCCTGCCCTTCTCTGGGCTGTGGACAGAGGCCTCAGCTGGCTCTGCAGCCTGCCTCTTCTCTGTCCTCTGCCCAGCTCTGGTTACTTTGTCTTTGACCTTCCGCTTTGTCTCTGACTTCCACCCTCAGATAAGGTCACAGAGTCCCAAGCCTGTGTGGTTGCCTTGGGGGTGCCCAGTGCCGTGCTCGGGGCCGAGGGGCGTGGTGCAGGAGGAGGTTCAGGCCCTGCCTTCTTGGGCTCCCGGGGGCTCTGGGTTGCTAGGTTGACCCCCAGGGGTCCTGGGGAAAAGACCCTAGGGAAGTGAAGTGTTCACTAAGATGTCTGGACCTCGGGAGAAGGGGAAAGAGAAGCCCTCGGGGCAGGGACGTGGATGCCAGATGTGCCTGTGGAGAGGTGAGCACCAACTGGGTGAGGGATGTGAAGTCCAGCGGGGCCTGGGGCTTCGGAGGAGGGGCAGGGGCTGGATGCTGGGGAGGGGGTGGTGTGGAGGCAAAGACTCAACCCCCCGTCGTCTCCACCGCCCCTGCCTCCCATCTTTCCAGGCCCAGGCCCCCTCCTCGCCAAGTGCTCCCTCCGCCATGTTCCAGCCCGGCCCTCCTCCAGCAGCTGCCTGTGTCCTGCCTTGTGACAATTGCTCTCCGTGTCTGCTTTGGTCCTGAAAGGCAGTGTGCTCTTCCAGGCCAGGCCTAGGGCCCCTCCCGGTGCGGGGTTCGGCTGGGGGCTGCCGGGCAGATCCCGCCGCACCTTCCCCCTCCAGCACTGCTCACAGGAAGGACTCGGGCCTCTGCGCGTAGGCTCCCCCTTCCCTTGTCCCTCTCCCCACAGGTTTCCCTGTCTGCTTGCTGGCCCTGGGACCCCACTACTTCTCCAATGTGCCCGGCAGACCCTGCTAGGAGGTGCGGGTGGGACCCGCAGAGGCAGGCTGTGATGACGCTGAGTGGGGCCGGGGCACCGATGGAGGTCGGCCCTGGGCCGCTGCCAGCAGCCGAACCTGCCGGTGGACATCCCCCTGAGGGTCTGGTGGGGCAGCGCCTGCTGTGGGGATCTGGGCCAGCCTAAGGCTCTTTGGAGCAGAGGCTCAGGACGGTCAGGTCTGGGCTACAGACCCCTGGCCTTTCCTCCTGGCAGGCCCCCGGGCAAGCTGGCTTCTGAGCTGGGCCTCACCTCCTCCCTGCAAAGTCAGGGGTGCATATCGTGATGCTGGGGGTCCAAAGAGGTGTGCCCAGCCTGAAGCAGTCACTGGACCTGCAAGACCTGCACGATGGTGGAGGGGTGGTGCTGCGGTGCCTTCCAGGATCCTGGGGGGCACGGGGGGGGGCAGGCAGGAGCCCCCGAGGCAGCCCCGCATCAGCCACCTGAGCCCGCAAAGGCTGCCTGGCCTACTGGCTGGTCCCTGGGGCTTGTTTAAGGCAGCTGGGGTCTGGATTGACAAGGCAGGTGACGTGGGGGTCCCTGGGCCCTGATCCAGAGAGGGAAAGTCACCCTGAGCTCTGAGGCCTCCCTCGGAGTGGAAGGAGGGTGCCCAGGAGGCCCTGGGAAGCAGGGCACAGGGCTCAGTGACAGGGTGGCAACTAGCGAGGGGTGGCAGATGGCAGGTGGGGAGTGGTGACTACTTGGCCAAGGGTCATGGAAGCTGCTGGAAAAATAGGTCTGGGGGATTGGATTTCCTGTCGGGCCCGGTGGTGCTGCAGGATCCAGGGATGTCGGGCCGGCTGGGAGTGGAGGTCTGGGCGTGAGGGAGCTGGGCAGCGGGGTCCCTGCATGTGGGGCTGGAGGGGGCCCTGTACCCCCGATCCACCTCCGTGAGGCACCTCAGGCTTTTACGTGGCTGTGTGCCCTGGTGGCAGGGCTAGACACTGGAGCAGAGGCGGCAGCTGGTCCTGTTCTGTGGGAAGGAGGCCTTTGCCCCAGCAGGGCTGCCCACGAGGACGCGAGCTGCCTCTCCTGGGGCTTCCTAGCAGAAACATCAACCCCAGATACACTTTACTTGTGGGAGAAAGTGGGTGATTCCATGACTGGGGCTCTCAGAGAACTGGGAGTTACCAGGACGGTGCAGTCGGGGAGGGCTTCCTGCAGGCAGTGCTCTGGCCACCACGGTCTTAGAGGCCGGGTTCAGGGGAGAGAGGAGGCCTGAAGCTCGTCCCCTACCAACCCCTTTCACCGGTGAGGAAATAAGGGCCAGAGAGGGCCGGGCTGGCGCCAGGTCATCCGGGAGTGGGGCAGAGACTGGCTTGTTTCTGTCACCACTGACCCCTCCTTCCCTCCGCCCTCACATGCTGGAGAGAGCAGCTGCTTTCCAGAACCCGAGCCCTCCTATCAGCCTGGGTCCCTAGACCTGACTGTACCAGCAGGCGTGACGCCCAGGAGAGGCCTTGGAGGGAATACTACCCCCTACACCCACCCCCAGCCCTGCCTGCTCCCTGAACTCAGCTGGCCAGGAAGCCAGACGCCAGGACAAGCCCAGGCCTCTGCCTGCAGCTGAGGTTCTCCTGCCCGGGCCCTCTCCCTGCACCTTGCCTTCCTGCCCGCTCCCCCTCGTCTCAGCCTGGGCATGGGAGAGGGGCAGGGCCACTGGGGTTACACAGAGCAGGAGTGTGGCCCAGAGAGGGAAGCGCCTGGCCCAGCGTGGCACAGCAGGCACCCCAGGCCTTCCAAAAGGCCCCCAGGCCTGCCCTCCAAACCTCAGGCCGGGACAGGCTTCTTCAGCTCAGGCCACAAGGGCAGCCCCGGCCCCGGCTATACCCCCAAACCTCCCTCCACCTCGAGGCACCCCATTCACCCCCTCCTTCATTCCTTCAACAGAGTTTTAGAAGGACTCAGCACGTACCAGGCACAGAGGGTGAAATGGAGACTGAACGAGGAGAGACAGGTCCAGGCTTCAGGGCCCCCTGACTAGCTGGGGGGACGTCGAGGGGGTGGACACGTGATGCTCTGTGTGTACCCCACGTGAGCATGATTATCAGGGAGGCCGAGGGACCCAGGGGGGCTCTCCCCGGGGTGGAGTGGGGAAGGGCATCCCGGCAAGGCAGCCAGGGTCTGGCTCAGGGGCCGTGCATGGCCTTGGGGGTCATGCTCCCTTTCTGTCTCTCTCTCCTTCCCCAGCTGGAGTGAGGTGACTTCCCCTGAGTCAGGCAGCGGAGTGATGCAGGGTTTCCCTTGGGCTTGCTCTGTTCCTGTAAGTCACACACCTGCAGCATACGGGGCCTCCCTCAGCTGACATACAGAGGGCAGGGCCTTGCCCAGGGTCACCCAGTCAGTGAGTGGGAGCCAGAGCTGGGCCTGGCCCCCCAGCATGGGGCTCTGACCCTCACCCTGGCCTCTCCACTCATCCTTCCTGGTGCAGGAGAGTTGCCCTTACACCCAGGGCCGCGGGCCTAGATGTAGGTCTCTCTCACCAACTGCCCAGGGCCTGGCGTGGCCCCATCCATCCTAGATCATCCCCTGGGGCCCTGGCCACCAGCTGCCCTGCTCCAGAGACACCTTCTCCCCATCGCTGGGCGAGGCTTCTGGGTGCAGTTAATATCCTTGGGCTGGGCCGGGGGCTGGGGTCCAAGGCCGGCTCTGCCCCTCTGCGCTGGCCTCTCACACATGCGGGGCCCCTCTTTCCTGCTCGGCCAGACGGAAAATCCAGGGAGTAGCTACATGGGCAGCGTTTCCCTGCCTGGAAGCACAGCCTGCTGCCCATGGGCAGCCCTTCCCTGCCTGGAAGCACAGCCTGCTGCCAGGAGTGGCTGGGCAGGAGCCCTAGGGCCAAGGGAGACCAATCCCCCTGAGAGAGGCCTCACGGGAGCCCTGCTCACAGCAGCTCCTAGGGCCAGCACTGGGCACCTCTCCACGGAGCCCCACACGGGCCCTGACCGTCAGCTTCTCTGGCTGTGTCCCTGAGAGGACACTGGGACTTGGGGATCTGGGTGATGAGGGCGAAGCCCTCAGGTGTGAGCTGCGTCCTTCCATGAAGGCATGGGTATAGGTTCTGGGGTAGTGACCACAGGGCCCTTCTCACTTTCCACCCTCACTTCTCTGTCCTCACTTGCTCCCAGCACCTACCCACCCATCCACTCATCTATCCATCATGCACGCATGCAGCCATCCATCCATCTATCCATGTGTCCATCCACCCATCCATTATCCATCCATCCACCCTCCCCATCCGTATATCCACTCATCTACCTATCCATCCATGTATCCACCCTTCCTTTTATCCACGCATTCATCCATCTTCCATCCGTCTATCAATCTATCCATCTGTCCATCCATCCATTCAACCATCCACCATCTACCCATCTACTCATTCCACTTACATGTCCTCTAGGAAATAATTACAGTGATGTTTCTCTATCTCCTCTCTCCTCTCTCCTCTTCCCTTCCTCATTTATACACACACCTACCCCTGACAGAGAAAACAGTAATTCTCAAAGACCACGGAGTGGAACCTGGTGGGACTCTGAGAAACTTAGGTCTGCAGGTGGTTGGCAGGCAGCTCTGGAACTTGCAACACCTGACACGCAGACACTCCCTTTTTATTTAAGATTATGTTAACTGGGGAGGAGAAGGGCTTTGGGAGGACATCACTGATCCTAACCCTTAAGAGGGGAATAAATATCTAATATAAATCATGCGCTCCGTATCTGTCCGTCTTTGGCACTAGTACCTCTTACACAGGGCAGTGGAAATTCCTTTCCTTGGCAACCCTCCACCCCTGTCACTTTGTCCCCTGCCCCTTGGGAACAGGAAATGACCCCTTTTTGGGTGCTGCCACTCTTTAAGCCCCACTAAAATATGGCCAGGACAACCTAGAATTTAACAAAAAGGTTTTTTGGAAACAGCTGATGAAAGTCTGGAATTGGGACTATGTGTCGGGGAAGTCTTCAGTCTGCAGTGAGACCCCGACTTCAGACGTGGACAGACTCTCTGCAGACCCTGCATTTTGCAGACATGGTTCCCAGGCACAGGGCGATGCGAGCCAGCAGGGCGGCGTCGGCAGCAGCCACGTGGCCTGGGAGCTAGTGGCACTCTGTCCTCACGGGGCCGGGCGTCTGCTCCTCCAGGCTTCAGGCGGCTGTTGAGCTTGGGGTCTGGAACAGCCCAGCTCCAACGCTTTCTGCTCAGCTTGGTGGCCTCAGGGACCCGGCTCTGGCACCAGTCCTGGTCCAGGAGTTTGCATATTGTTGCAGCCCTCTCTGGGTGTGGGTACAGCCCTGGGGCAGGGAGGTGGGTCCCAGTCTGGGCCTGCCAGGAGCTCATGACTACAATCCCAGGGGCTCAGGGGATCAGAGGGTTTGTGCCGTCATAACTTTGGATGTTATGTAAGAAGGGAGCAGGGGCAGCCTCCCTGGCTGGAGGAAAGGTGACTCACAGAGGCCCAGGAGCCCCCAGGGATGTGCCCAGAACAGAGGAAGCAGCTCTGACTGCGAAGCCCAGGGCACACGGAGGGCCTGGTGCTCCAGGACCCCTGCTGGCTGGCGGTCTGGGCTTCTAGCCCAGAAGACTGCAGAGTCACCCCTGCTCCCAAGCCCTCTGAGCTCCAGCTGCCTCCCTGCCCTCCCACCCCACCCTCCCTCAGGGATTTCAGAAATAACAGGTCGAAGCCTGAGCCTTCCACAGACAGCCCCACCCCCGCGCCCCCTAAATGCTCCTCCCTAAACCAGCAGCAGAAGCGGGGGCTCCAGGGTCAGAGCCAGCCTCCCTGCCCCGCTGCCCGAGAGCCCTGCTCTGCTGGCACGTCAGGTGCCCACCCTCAGTCTTCCCGCCGGGGGTCCTCTTGAAGTCCCTCCAGCCCTTCCCTACCTCCGGGCCTTTGCACCTGCCGTCCGGCTGCCCGCCTGTGGTCAGGATCACAGCCACAACCTCGCCCTCTGAGAGGCCAGTGAGCCCTGCAGCACCCGACCTCCTCCCGAGTCCCCGTCAGAACTTGCGGGCCCACCTTTGCTTGTCGGTTTGCGGGCTACGGCCCCCAGGTCTGCTGTGTCACCGTGGTGTCTGTGTCCACGTGACCTCTGAGTGTCTGTTGATTTAATGACTGGGGGGCACCTGTAGGTGGGCATAGAGAGAACTCAGGCTTGGGTGCAGACCACCACTCCCCCACCAGGAGCTGGGGGGCCGGGAAAGGGTCCGGAAGGCTCTTCGTGCCTCAGTTTGCTCATCTGTAGTGAGGGAGAGTGAGTGCCTTCATCTGGAAGCAGCCCCCTTGCCCCACCCCTACTTCTGAACACAGAAGCTCTTGGAGGAGGTGGCCATGAGTCGTCATGTGGCGTCCAACGTGGCTCTCCGTTGGGACTTGTAGGGGTGGGGCCTGCCCCAGAGGGAAGGTTGGTCAGAGAAGAGAGGCAAGAAAGGAAATTTCCACTTTCCTTAAGAGAAGAAGCCCCAAGCTTCTAAGGCTGGGTGGAGGGGTCCAACCCTGAGCTCCACCTTTGCTACTGGGATGGCTGCCCCATACGTGCCCCATAAACACCTCTTCCTGGGCCTCTGGGCCTGGCTGTGCTGGGGGCTGGGAGGGCCCCCAAGGGAATCCTGACACCCTTATTGCAAGGCAGGGCACCCTCAGCCTATCTTGTCCCCCAGACATAGCCCAAGGTGCAGACAGCGGGCAGGAGTCCCACAGGAGGGCAGGCCCCCTCCCACTGGCTTGAAACCTCTGCTGCCCTGCACTTCTCGGGACTGCTGTGCTCCCCGACGGAACAGCCACCACTGCCCTGTCACAGGAGCAGGGACCAACAGTGGCTGGGCACACAGGCTCTGGGGCCAGAGAGGTGGCTGCCGGGAACAGGAAGGGCCTTCCTCCCTCTGGGGCAGGTAGACGGGCTCCTGAGGAAGGGCCCTGGGCAGACGTGTGGAGGAGCAAAACCTCTGGAGAGCCGGGGGCCTTGGGCCCTGGGCGGAGACTCAGAGCTCCGGGCGCCTGGCGTGCCCTGATCGGGGATGTAGGATGGGCAGGGGTGGGCACAGAGCTGAGCACCCCTGCCGGGGTACACTGAAGCCCCGAGGGGCTACCCAGGGGGTGCCGTGTCAGCCCCCAGCGTGGGATTTGCTGAAAGCATGTTTCTGCCTCTCTGGCCCAGGGGGTTCGGGACAGAAGTTGGCTTCCTAGAGAAGAGGGAAGTGCTGCGTCCCCACCTGAGCATGTGCCTTGCTGAGGACCGCCCCATAAAGCGCCGCCTGCCCCTCCAAGGCACAGCGGGGCCCCCAAGACCGAGGACGAGCAAACTCACCAGACCCCACGCCTCAGACAGCTCAGAGCAGCCCTGCAGCTCTATTCCTTCTCTCTCAGCACCCCGCGGGGTCGCCTCTGGGGGAGGTAGGGCCACCTCCCAGTACCGATGCCCCCCCCCACCCGTGGGCAACCAGGGTACCATGGGAAAGGTCTGACTTCGCCTGGCAGGGGCTGGCAGGGGCGCCAGTGGCCTTCCAGAGGCTCCGTCCCTCTCCGATTTCAGCACCCTGAGCCCCGGAGGCAGGAAGGAAGGAGACCCCGTGGGTCTGTGATGCATAAATGCTCTGGCTGACCAGTGGACAGGAAGGTGGGAGAGCGAGGCGGCTGGAGGGACCCTGACCCTGCCTGTCACTGTCACCAGCAGGCCCTACTCGAGAGCTTGGGCCCCGGTTCAGCTCGTGGCCGCTCAGACCTGAAGATTGGAGGAAGGAGGGGCCTGCCCTGGGGGTGTGAGGGGAGCCTGGAGAAGGCAGGGTCTGGGTGTGGTTGGGCAGGGCAGGCCGGGGTCCCAGCACAGTGCGAGGTGCCCAGGTCAGGGGTCCTGCCACCCATGATGTGAGGTGGGGAGCCCGGGAGAGGCACCCCCGCCGGGCTGCCGACCGAGGCCAGGCGTCCCAGCCATCACCCTCCTTGCGTGCCCACATCTTGCAGAATCCATGGACCGCCTGCTCCCTCCCTCCCAAGTATTTTACATGGACTCACTCAAACAGGGAAGCCCATGCTGGGGCCTTGCTGTGACGGTGTTGTTGGGCTGCTGAAGGAGTTTCTCTTAACCGACCCTTGTATGGACACGTGAGTATTACAAACAAGGATGGGTAGTCCCTGCCCCCTACAGCCCCGGGGTGGGCCCCACTGCGGGGATTCCTGCTGGAGGGCGTGGTGTCCCCCGAGGGTCTGGGTGGGCCGAGGAGAGGCCAGCGGGGTGTGCAGGCGTGCAGGGCGTGCAGGGCGTCAGGGCGGGGCGTGGGTACTTACCAGGGCGCATAATCACACAGTACTTCTTGGGAGGGGCACTCCACCAGAGGCTCGCAGGGCTCGAGGCCGCAGCACTGCAGGGCCTGGGCTGGGAGGAAAGGAAGCAGACCCGTGGTCAGTCTGGGCTGGGGGCTCGGGCGGCCACTGGGGTGGGCAGCCTGGGGGCCCGGGCCTGGGGCTAGACTGAGCGCCCCCTCTTCCTGGTCCCCTGGGACAGGCCGAGGGGCAGGGACTGCTGTGCTCCATTGGCCCTGTGTGTGTGAGCGCCAGTCTGGCAGCAGGAGTGCGGGCAGAGGCGGTGGGTGGAGGTCTGCAGGCTCCCCCGGGACAGAGACGACCTGGGTCCTCTTCCTCACTGCCCCGTCCCTCTCTGGGCCGCAGTGTCCTTACCTACAGGATGGGGCTCCAGGCTCAGGACTGCTGCCTGCACACAGTAGGTGTTAAGTGTTGTTTACTAACAGGAAGGAAAGGCCTTGCCCCTCAATGCCTGGGGCCTGCTGGTGCACCCCACCCCAGGCCGATCGATGGGGAGTCTGCAGCAAAAGGGCCGGTCCTGGCTCACCCCTGAATGCTGAGCAGCCGGCCCTAGGTCCCACCGACAGGGAGACCGGGACAAGGCTCCTGTCCTGGAGGCCCCAAAGGCCGTCCAAGGGTGGCCGCCCGAGGTGCAGCGCGTAACCCCGAGTGTGCTGGCGCGGAGTGTGCAACAGACACTCTGTGGGCACTTGGCCGAGAGGGACCACGGTCTTAACAGGGGGTGGGGGCCGTCTGGGAAGGCTCCCTGGAGTGGGTGGCCCTGGAGCTGGGCCTGGACAGATGAACAGATTTTTACTTGTCATCTGGGGAAAGAACCCTCGGGCAGAAGGTGCAGCCTGGCGGAGGCCAGGCCGGCGGGGACCAGGCTGCGAGGACCCAGGAGCTGTGACAGGGCGAGTGGGCAGGTGGGAAAGCGAGGAGCCCCTTACGTGGGCTGCGCTGTAGGAAAGGGCGCCTCTCTGCCAGGGCTCGGCGTGGGGGGCTGTGGGGGACCCGGGCGGGGTGCCCCGTGGGGTGTCCTTGCCCACATGGGTCAACTGATGTCAAATCTATTTCCGCCTATGGGGAGGGTTGGGGCGCTTGTGGCTGGACCACAGGCAAGCAGGAGGTCAAGCTCAGACCTCCAGAGCCCCCGCCCCGGGCTCGGAGGCCGTACCTCCCAGGTCAGGCTTCTGGAACTCCCCAAGAAGAATAGGCCTCTGTGTCTCAGGGTGACCCCCGGCCACTCCTAATCCTCTGTGTGCAACTAAGTCCTGGGCGCTGGTGGGGGGGGGGAGAGACTCCTAGCTTCCCTTGACCAAGAACCTTATTGTGCCTCAGTTTCCCCCACAGGGGTCCAGATAGTCCCTACGTCCTTGGGCCGTGCTGAGCATGAATGGGTTAATGCTCCTTAGGTCCCTGTGCTATCCCGGTGTCAGCCTCCCAGGAGCGCTGAGCCCTGGAGGACAGAGGCGTCCCAAGCCCGCCTGCCCCCTGCCCTGCTCCCACAGCTGGACCCGGGGCACAGGCGGTGGGGCGCCTCCCCAGCACCGGCTCTCTCTTCCCACTACTCACCTCTGCACCAGGCTCTCTTTTGAGAAGCGACCCTGCCCACTGCCCGGTCCACGGAACCAGCCTCACACCCTTGCCCGAAAGTCCCCTCCACCTATCTTTCCAGCCCCCCCAATCTGGGACTGATCCCCAAGGTGGCTCCTTCCCCTCTGCCCTCTACCCCCCGCCCCCCCCCCGCCCCGGGCCTTCCCCGACAGCTGGCGGCTCCACCTCAGCCCTCATCCCCCAGCCACCCTCAAGGGAAGCCACAGGTGGGGCTAATTATCCCCGGATGATAATTATTCAGCTGATAATCACGGGCTGTACCACCCACTCCTCAGGCCCCATTTCCGGTGACCTTAAAAGCATCAGGCGCTGGTGTTCAAGGTCGTAAAACCAGGTCATCAGGTAGGGGCAGAGCTGGGACTGGAGGGGGGCGACTGAAGGGGGGCGACCGATTCCTTTCCCTGGTTTTCCCACCACAGTCCCGCCTCCCAGAAATCCCAGGAAAGCAGGACAGTTGGTTACCCTCACTGGAACCAAGGTCCCCCTGCCTGGCCCAGAGCTCTGCCGCCTCGGACCGCTCGCCAGGGTCCTTCGCCCCACAGGAGGCAGATGTGCCAGAAGCTGTGCCCAAAGGGACACCAAGGTCTCCGTGTCTGGCTGGTCAGGGAGCAGCCACGAGGGCCTCTCCCCCCAATCCCTGCAGCCCCCCATCAGGCTGATGCCGCAGACCCTCAGACCGCAGCCAGCCCTACCCGGCACCTCCCACCCAGGTCAGCGTCCCTTACCCAGGTCAGTGCACAGCACAGCCGGAAGCAGAAACACCAGGAGTGGCCTCATCGTGGGGCATCTGCCAGCTAGGACTGGGAACACAGGACACCGCCTGTGTCCCCCACAGCCGACACCGGGGGCCTTTATACGGCCGGCTTCCTGGTCAGGCAGACCTAGGAATTTAGCTAGAGGTGAGCTTGGGCCAGCCAGGCCAGCCTGACTCATGCCTCCCGGGCCTCCCCTTGCCCTGCCCCCCAGGGGCCCCAGGGGCTCTCAGAAGGTCTGCTAATCCTCTCTCTGCCTGTCCCTCTGTGCTGAGCCTTCGGCCTCCCTGTCTCTGCAGTGATCGTGAGGCCCCAGGTTGGGCTGGGAAGAAGGCAGGCAGCACGGGCATGGGGACCCGCTCTGGGAGTCTTAAGGACAGGGCCCTGCCCTGAGGTCTGGTCTGGGGGTCACAGCTCTGCCCTGGGGTCTGGGGGGACACGGCTCCCCCAGAGCTCTTCTGAGTAGGCATAGCCATCTCCCCTGGGCCTCTCTCTTGGGCCAGGGCCAGCAGGGAGGCATTTTAATGGGGAAACTGAGGGACCACAGGCTGAAAGCTGGCTTTGGACGGGCCTGTCAATCCGATGCACACAGATCACCTGGGCTCTGGCGAAATGCTGCTTCTGACCTGGAGCCCCAGGTGGGACCTGAGCCTGCATTTCCAGTGAGCTCCTAGGGTGCTGGTGTGTGTGCCCAACTGACCAGGGACAAGCGGAGCCAGTGGCGTACCACTGGGAGCTGCTCTGCTGCCCATCAGGCCTCCAGGCCAGGCTTGAGGGACTGTGGGTGACAAGGGTGCCCTGGGGGATGCAGCAAATGGCCTACTCGCACGGGGCTGCCCCCACTTAGTGTCTTGGGGTGGGAGCTCACATCTCCTGGTGTCTCTACTCCATCCCCTCCCAGGGCGCAGCCTCTCTCCTGGCGGCTACCGGCCCCTCCCCAGTAACTATAGCCACCCTTCCGGATGCAACTCTGACTGGGCCGCAGGGCTCTCTGAGTAACTCTGCCCTCACATCCGCCTCCAGGGTGGACCCACACATACCTCCAGGCCCTCCCTCGCCCAAGCCTGGCCTGTGCCCACGGCCCTCTCTCCACCTTCCCCTCCCCGGCAGAATCACCTCTGTCTAGAACACCGTCAGACCCCCGCCCTGGCCTGTGTCCTAGAGGCGCCCGCCTGGAGCCTGCACCCTTTCCCAGGACCCCTGTGGGGGGACCGCTGCTTCACCCACCCGCAGAGGACGGGCTGAGCTTCTGGGTGCTCATCCTCAGGCCCAGGTGTGGCACAGGGCAGCTGTTGGTGGGGGTGGGAGGTGGAGCTGGCGCACAGGCTGGGGCACGCAGGGCCAGCCTTGCAGTGCAGGGCAGCTCAGGTCTCGGAGCCGGGAACCTAGACTCGCACTAGAAGGTCCAGATTTTGTTTGTTTGTTTGGGTTTTTGTTTTTTTCCGTGCCATGTGGCACGTGGGATCTTAGTTCCCCGACCAGGGATTGAAACTGCTCCCCCTGCATTGGAAGCACAGAGTCTTAAGCACTGGACCGCCAGGAAAGTCCCCGTCCAGTTTGTTTCGATGGTATTTTATTTTAGCTTTTTAAAGCCTCTTTTAGAACTGTCATACTTTTGGCTCTCCATTTACCCCAGGCCCCAAAAGGTAAGGGTGGGTAAGGAAACAAAGTTCTGATCACTTCCCCTAAAACTGTGCACATCTGTATACCGAGATGGGACGGACACTGAACAAGCAATCCTGGTGTCCACACCACCCCCTCCATCCACACCGTCCACACCACCCATTCCGTCCACACCATTCATCCATCCACACCACCCACTCCGTCCACACCATTCATCCATCCACACCACCCACTCCGTCCACACTGCCCACTCCATCCACACCATTCATCCATCCACACCACCCACTCCGTCCACACCATTCACTCCATTCGACTCCGTCCACTCCTTCATCCCTCCGAGCTTGGTGACCTCCTGCGGCCACGGGCCATGGCAGCAGCCAGGCCTTGCCCGGCAGCCCCTGGCTTCCCTGGCCTGAAGCCCAGCCTTGCCTGGAGCTGTCCTGAGATACGGACTGGACTGTGAAGCCTGGGTGACTTTCCAGACTCCACCTCAGCCCTCAGCCCAGGCCTGAGGAAGTTCTTTGGTCTCGCTTCGAGGGGCACGTGGCTGGGAAGGGCACGATGGAGCCCACACTGGGGCCATGAGCCTTTGTTTGTAGCACCAGGCAGTGGGCCGGCCCTAGACCCAGCTCAGAGGCCAGCAGGCGGAAGCCAGGCCTCAGGTCTGTGGGTGCAGCAGACAGTCTGTGGGAGGGAGAGAGCTCCCGGGGCTCTGGGCTCCCCCTGCCCCGGGCGTTGCTGATTTCTACTCCGTAACCCCTTGGTCCTGGGGTGCAGGGATGAGGGGCTGAATGTGAGGGGTTGGGGGACCCGCATTCAGTGATCTGTCGGGTAACACACCGGAGCCCTGTGCGCAGCCTGGAGAAGGTGGGCTGCATTTGAAGTAGGGGCGACGAGGGGCGGGGCTTGAAAGAAGAGGAGGAGCCAGTGCAGAGCAATAGGCAAGGGGGTGGGTTCCCAAAACCCTCCCACAAGCAAAGTCCGCTGGATTTCTCCCAGGGGGCACCGCGTTTCTCAGACTGAGGTCTATATCCCTGGGGATCTGTAAGAGATTTTCTTCCCCTAATAGGGCAATGTGGGAAATACTGAACATAAGGACTCTCAAAGGGCCGTTTGCAACAAAGATTCTGCAGTCCTGTGGGGCAGGGGCCTGAGAGGGCCCAGCTATCTGCAGAGATGCTCTCAGGGAAGGGGGGGATCCTCCGCACGAGGAGGGCAGGAGGGCAGAGGCTGCCCTGGCCTGGGGATGGGCAGAGAAATGCGTCCCAAGTACCAGCCTGCCCAGGGGTTGGGGGCGGGGGGGGAGCCGCCCCTCATTAAACTAACCAGGCATTTGAAACTCACTCTTTTACAAGCTGGACGTTCTCCAATTAAGGCCCAGGCTCCCAGCCCAGGTCACAGTTAGCACATGGCCTCCTCAGCCTGGCATTGGCCTCCACTCCCCAGAGCGGCTGAGAGGAGACATGGAGCTCCCTGCCCCACAGGTGTGCAGGGCAGGCGAGGAAACTAAGATCCCAGTGAGGCCCTGGACTGGACACCTGCCCAGAGGACCTCCATCCCCCCCTCTGGGAAAAGTCCTTGACCCCAGTTATGAACCCAGGACCGCCACGTGAACAAGAGGCTGAGTCCTGTTCCTGCCTCCCCCTTCCTCCCTCCCCTCCCTGCGTCTGACCCTTCCTCCCGCCCTGTGCTGGGGACAGAGTGGTGGGGACCCAGGATGTGAACTCAGGCCCCACGCTGTCAGGCAGGTCTGGAAAAGGGGTGTTCCTATGCCTTTTTCACCAAGGGGGCTCCAGAGCCCTGAGCCTGGTCCCACTCTGAGCCCTGAGCCTGGTCACACACTGAGCCCTGGCCCTGGTCCCACTCTGAGCCCTGGCCCTGGTCATACTCTGAGCCCTGACCCTGGTCCCACTCTGAGCCCTGGCCCTGGTCATACTCTGAGTCCTGACCCTGGTCACACTCTGAGCCCTGACCCTGGTCATACTCTGAGCCCTGACCCTGGTCACATTCTGAGCCCTGACCCCTGGTCACACACTGAGCCCTGACCCTGGTCACACTCTGAGCCCTGAGCCTGGTCACACACTGAGCCCTGACCCTGGTCACACTCTGAGCCCTGG